ATACGATTATACTATGCGACGACTATTTTACTGTAACTCGCAACGACTTTATGATTGCTTCTAGAATTCTCGCACCTTTTAATTAACATTATCAGATTACAGTTGCATTCCCGCGATTAAAATGACCATAATGCATAACCAAAAAAAAAACAAAAAAAGAGATAGAGAGAGAGAGAAAAAGATATATATACTAAGCCGTTACGCAAAAAAAAAAAAAAAAGTAGTGCCTTAGTTTTTACTAGCTGTAAAGTTTGTGACAATGCATGGTCCAACTTGCATAAAAAGAGTGCAGAGGCTGCTAAGCTTGCCTTTGGTAATTACTAACCTAGAGCTTCCGAGATGGTAGTACGTCAATTGCAACAAAGAAATAAATTAATATTTTTGTCAATCCACTGGAAATGAATTAATCTCCAATCATTTGTCAAACAAGCAAGCAAAAGAGGGCAAAAATAGTAGTAAAGAATTGACTGTGTCATGTGGGGGTGACAACTTGGGCTGTTTTTGAGCAAAGGAACAAGAATCTGAGGAACTTCTGTACCATATACTTACTGAATATACAAAATCCCTGTGGGGTAATAATGTACATCAAAACAAACAAACAAACAAACCAACCCACAAAATGAACAAATGAATTTAGACCCGTCTTATTGCAGCAGCAAAGTCTTTTAGCCTAACCTAAAAGGCAAAGCTTTTGCCTTTTCTACCCCATTCAATTCAACACAGCAATGACTCAAGAAACATATCATCCCTTGGCTCATCTTTCGCTCTAGAGAGGGTATTTTCTTGGGGCACGTTCAGGTAAGATCCCATTGAATTCCCAAAGCCATAATTCCCAGCTGGATCCTGCAACATTTTTAGAGTATATGGAGCTTGTTGCCCTTCAGGTGGTGGTGGCCTAAAGCTTCGAATTGGAATTGGATAGTTAGATTGATGAGACATTACTGAAGGCCTTACGGCCATGGGTGCATTGCTGCTAGGCACAGGCCTGTTGGCTGAATTGCTACCACTACCACGAGCAGCAGGCACGTCGTGGTTGTGCTTGCCCTCGTATGTTGTTATCACCGCCCTCAGATCGTGTGAGGCTCTTTCTACATGTTTCCTAACAGGACAACCTGGATTGGTGCACTTGTAGTAGCTCCTGGACGATAGAAACAAACCCCCGACAATTAGATTAGACTAATCTGTCAATGTTGATGCACTTAAGAGAAACAGAAAAAATTCCCTGCTTCTTGCAGTTAAAAAGGATTTTGTCCAACATAAGAGCAATTTAAAAGACCCCGGAAGACTAAAACTACATGACTAATAGAAGTTCATGGTCTTAGAACTGTCGAGCTAATGCTTCAATGGTCAGTCAAAACATTCAACCAGAGGGACTGGACCAAGCTAAGGACTTGAGACTCAAAAAAGTTCTCGTTAGGACTTTCGGTCTTTCACATAAACAATTGCCCAAAGACTAGACTAGTTGACGAATTCAATTCCAAGGCACCACAAAGGCTGGGTGCTGGGTTTGTAGAAGTTGCAAGTTTCTGAAAATTAGGATCAATCATTCAAACTTTCAAGGACTATCTTCTTAGATAAATGTGGAGGGAACTAAAAGAGCAATCAAGATATATCTTTTTTACCTTGGATTGGGATTTCCTTTCACCACCTTCTGACCATACTTTCTCCATCTATATCCATCATCAAGAATATCAATATCACTAGTGGTTTGAACAACAACTCTAGGTTCTCTCACAGTCCTGCTCCCAGGAGCTGAAATTCCTTCACTTTCACTCTCCGTCTTCCTGCAACATGTATCAGAACATCGGTCAAACATTTAAGACTTACCCTAATCCATAAACACATAAATTAAATCTTAATTTCATTAACACTATCAACTAATTAAGCTTACCATCTTTTAGCATCAGGTTCATCATCATCAAATTCATCTCCACCTGATTTGCTCTTAGAGCTCTGCTCAAAATCATCATCCCCGATCGATATGGACGAATTCTCTGGTGTTGCAACAGAATCCATCTGTCCATTTCCAGTGGAGGCATAGGATTGATCAGGTACATCATTAGATTGAGAACTGTAAGGTTGGATGACAACTGAGCAGGCTGTTGAGGAAGCCGATGATCGTCTAGTAGATTGAGGCTTGGGATGGTTATGGTTTCCTTTATAAACTATTTCAGTTATTTGTCCATCTAAAGATCTCTCAACCTTCTTCTTAGTAGGGCAATTGGGAAACGTGCACTTATAATAGCTTCGCGGATTTTCGCTCCCTTTAACTTGCTTCTGCCCATACTTCCTCCAATTGTAACCATCCTCCGACCTTCTCCGTTCACTTAAAGTCTGTGAAGATTGGTTATAGTTGTTATAATCCGACTGAAATCCGCCGTTTCCTTGAGAATTGGCCTGGATGTTGCCAATTTCAGGAGAAAAACTTTGCATAGAAGTGACATCAGATTTTACGGTAGGGTCATCCTGCTTGGCGGGTTCTTGATAGTTCCAAGCTTGCTGCATTTGTCCCTGTAAAATTTGAACCATTTCAGTATTGAAACAAACACAAAAATCTACCGGCGTAAAGCGAGAGGCTTTCAAGCGAAACATGTGAAACTGCTAAAGTACCTCAGGAATTGTGTTGGTCTGTGGCCTAGAGACAGCTGCCTGGGGCTGGAAAGAGAAGTCCTGGTAGTTCTTTTGTTCTTGCTTGATACCCTGCTGCGAATTGTAGGAATTGCTCTTCCAATTGAAGGCTTGAAATGGAAATGACCCTGTCGTTGGAGATGGAAGTACCTGCAGTCCAATTAAAGATGGGAGTTCAGCAGTCATAACTCACATCTAATGTTGGTTCTCTTAAATCAAAGCACGACAAGGTTTTAGTATGATAAAAATTCAAACTTTTCTAGTAATCATATGCAGCAAGGGAAACTCGTCAACACAATTCCCACAATTTTCATTTTCATTTCCTTCATCTATATTCTTGGAATCCAAGCAGCAAGACAAAACGAAAAGGCAACGAGAAGAAGCTGAAAAGTTGAGTTGAAGACACATACGCTAGAACCAGAGAGGAGAACTGGAGAGTCCAAGAGCTCAGTTGGGCTCAAGCCAGGGGGAATAGCAAAGTAAGAAGAAGGAGAAACAGGGGGCGGAGAAATGGGCAGAGAAGGGGGAGGAAGTGACTTAAACTTAGGTACCCCAGACCCCGTTCTCTCAGCAATTCGATCACCAAGTCCTCTGCTTTCTGCTGCCATACCAGTGCTGGTGGCCATGGAGTAGCCATCAGATGCAAGAAGGTCGGTGAAGGAAGTAGTAGACATGAACGAAGTAGGAGAAAATGAGAAATTTGCGGTGTCCAAGGTTCCTGTAGAGGCGGCCATTTGAACAAGAAGGAAGGAAGGGATGATTAGACCAAGAGAGCTGTAGCTTTATATCAAGTCAGGAGGACTGGTTAGAGAAAGAATCTACCACAATGAGACAGGGGGTGAACGTTTACACGTATCTTGCGAGGCAATTCTTGAACCTTAGGCTGAGGTTTTTCCTTTTCTCTTTTTTTTTTTTTTTTTCCTTCCCTTCCTTCCCTCTCTCTCTCTCTCGTTTTGGGGGATTTAGCCTTTTAGGGGTCGTTTTGGGGGGCTAGTGTGAGTAAGGCATCTTCTGCGAAGATCAGCAGATGTTTGACCGTGGAAAAAGAAATACTAGTACATAATAATTTAATAGTATAATAGTATATTTTTTGGTTCAAAACTCGTGGGTTTGACCACGATGGCTTCATCCAGAAATGAGAGAGCGGCGGCTGAGAGTTGGATTTGGAAAGCTAACGCGCTATGTCGCTCTCAATTTGGGTGTATTGTCTCTGTAAAGGATTAGCAACAGAGAATTATTTGATTATTGCTAACAGGAGAGTTCTAGATAAACAAGCATGTAAACGGTAGCCAAAAAAAAAAAAGAGAGTTTGTGAATGTTAGCTAGATTTATCTTACTAAAAAGGGTTAGTCTTTTATACACTGATAATATATACACTAACGGATCTGAATACATATCATATATACAAAATTTGATATTTAAATTCAAATTCAGATGATGTGGCATTCATCCAATCTCGTCAGTATATACACTGATAGTGTAGAAAAAATTAATCCCATTTAAAAACTTTGTGAACAGTAATTAATTAATCGCATCCTGCGTTTTCTCGTTGCTTTGAGAAATTACAGAGAGAGAGGCGCACCATTATTTGTTAATCACTGATTTTGATTCGTAATATCGTGCAGTAATTCTTGCAATGAAATTATGGTTTCAAAACATACATATATTTTTATTGTAGCACTTTTTGTGATGTAATGTATGTGAGATAAAAAGGTAATTAGAAAGATAAAAAAGTGTATTGAAAATTATAATAGTGATGTAAGCAAATATATTTGGGAAAATAACTTACAATCCAAACACACTATTTAATGTTTGGCTAGTTACTTAGTACCATATGTGTAGCATGGATTGATCACCAGCTACAGCTATCGAATGCAATAAAGTTGTAATACATTTAATAGTAGTGTATTTAACAGTCATTTGGACGAATTTGTTCATTGTTTTTGTGAGATAAGGTAACGTATGCCCTGCGTTTTGTCATGTATATTGTTGACTCCAACTCAAACAACAGGTCATTGTAGTGCTTTTCTCTCTTTTCTGTTTTCATCTTCACCTCCGACTAATCCGCCACCAGCTGCTGCTGCTGCATCATGCCACGTTAAAGTCATTCAATTTTCATTCGTGTGGAAGTGAACAAAGAATTTTCCACACGAGTAGATTATAGTTGCAGTCACATTATTCAAGAATCTCCCATGTCTCCCTCCTCCTCCAAACAAAATCCTTGAAACGGCAGCCACAGCCGCCACTTCTCACCTCGCATGCATAAATGCTTTGGTGGTTACCCAAAATCCAACAAGAATTGAATCTGCTGCCGCTCATGTTCAATTCAATTTGGTCCAAGATCCACAGCATCTGCATTCTTCTGCATTCTGTTTTTTTTTTTTTGGTTTTTCTGGGCAGCTTCTGTCCTGAATCAGTGATCACCCTGCCCATGCATTGAATCACATCGTGGAAGACGATGATGTGTCCATGAAAACGCTTGACGTTGAAAACATTGACTTGGGGTGTGGTAATGAAATGCATCGCCCCTGTGATTCTGGAAGATTGATGCTAATTGATAGTGATCAAACGAATCACATAACAACATACTATTAATGACAAATTCCAGGCGCAAATGGAGTGGTCAGAGGAATAATTTAAAAGGGTGGTCAGTCAAAATTTCATTTTTCGCAAGATCTGAACATAAACAAATTTCCAGCTGACTTTTGGAAAAAGTAAGTCAGCAGTCTCCTCCCGCTACTTCGAGAAGATGATAACGTTAGTATAATTTTCAATCTGAAATTGATAAGGTTTACCTTTCAACAAAGGAAATCGATCAAAGTCTATTTTTGAACCCCATTCATCAATTCTTTATTGGAGTCACTTCCGCGGGCGGACTAGACTCCTGCCCCTCACAGGCACAACAAGGCTTCCAGGTTTATTATACATGAATCTGGTGAGCTGGAGAAATGTGCATGGATTGTGAGAATTATTGAACAAACAGCATCCTACATTGACATTCAAGCCAACAACTAACTATTGGGTGTTAAAAACTAATCGTGACAAAATTATGGGTTATACTATACATGGTACCAAGATGCATGCATTTATGTGCGAGTAAAGTCCGAACATATTTGACTTTTGGGTAGTACTCTTTGCCATAGTTCTGCTTCCACTCGTTCGGTCTAGGATATTCTGAGAGGAGAAAAAGAATATGGTCATGGTCAAATGTTTGAGCAGATTGAATAAGGTCAAATTATAGAATTATAGGCAAAGCCTATAGGGACGTTCTATTTTCAAATCAAGAAGTTACTCAATCTCGACACCGCATTAAATTGCTCAAGACTCAAGAGAGTAACGACTAATCTGAATCAGTAGCAACAAGAATATGGATGGTAGTATGAAATCATCTTTCTGGAACTGGACCCATCGCAGCAACTCAAATGATGCAAGTCTGATGCAGAACATACTCTTGTGTTTTCCCCATTTTGGAACCTGGACAGCAAACAAGCTCTATGGCCAATCAATCACTGGCACGGCACATTCAGGTAAATGAACACATCACCAGAATAAAATGTTCTTGTTTTGACTCCTTGATTCAGCTGCAATCTTATCAGCGGCAACAATTTAACGTTTCACGATGCAAAATGTTGAATTCTTCACTGATAATCATAGCTGCCATCCCTTCGGATCTATATCCACCTGCTACGTACATAATTTAATGCAAAAATCAGTACAAGTAAGATGATACTACACATGTTAGAGAGCATCTTGCAAGTATAAGCTTCAACTATCAGAATTATTTCTTTATCTTGCAAAAAAATTTACAGCCAGCAGTTCCTTCATTTGATTTTTGCGTGTAAGCTAAGATTATACAAACTAGTTGATTAGCATCATTGTCCAATAAGCGGAAGGGAGGATACAAGAATTTTGCATCAATATACTAGTTTATGCACCCCCCCCCTCCCCCACCAAAAAAAAATGGTAAATGAATATACAAACAAAAAACAAAACCTAGAATCTGCCAGCATGCAGATCAATCCTTCACAAGTGACCGGCACACTGAAGAAGGATAGACATATTTGTACGCTTCGTAACTTTTATAGTTGCCATTTTCAGAAGCACAAGAATACTCATCTTTCTTCCAGAAACATCTAGAAGTTCCAAATCTACATCACTAACGGTTAGCTATCAGTTCAACATATTGCAATACTAAAATTGCAGCTTCTACAAACAGGTACAGTTGCAGCTATTGGAAGAAGTGGAAAAGAAAGTTGAAGCATCTTCAGTTTTCGAGTAATACAAGAATCCGGGAAAAGCTTAATTTTTACCCGTTTTCATTGTATAAAAGTAAAAAGTTGGCCCCGGGTTCCGAAGCTGTTTGAAAACTAAGATACAAGATAAGAGAGCGCTAATGAAACCCACAGGGTTTTGGCTGAATGAAGAAAATGAATAGTCAATACCAGTAGAAATCACTTTCAAAACTGAAACAGTGATAATTGCATGCCACTACTGAAATGTAAATAAAACGAAAACCTGAAATGCTTTATTTCTCCAGTGAAAGATGCAGCCACGAGCTTCTACGTGATTCAGGAGAGCCTGAGGCATTGATGCTTTAAAGGTTGAGTGAAGCTTCACTTTTCTCAGTCCCTGACAAGCTAACAGAGCAGCACCAAGCCCACTGGCAGTCAGTCCAGTTACATGCAAGATAGTCATGCTGTGCAAGTGGTTAATGCTGGCCAGTGCCATTAGCCCAATATCTGTAACTGAACAATATGATATATTAATCTGCAAATAAATAGACTGGTTAGTTCACTTAAGACGCTGCAGACTCATTTAGCCATCTTTTGTAAAAGGAGAGGAAGTGAGAGAACCTGCTGGAGACTTTGGGAACATTGTGCAAGAGCAAGCATTCCAGCATCATCAATGTTACAGCATTTCTTAATGTCAAGAAGGGTCAGTTTCCTACATCCTTCAGCAATGGCTGATAATCCTCCTGAAGATAGACGAGTACATCCTCGAATTTCAAGCGCTGTCAATCTTAAACATTTTGATAAACATCGCAATGAACTGTCAGTAACTTTCTCACAGTAAGCCATGTTAATCATCTCCAAACCAAGGCAACCATTTGCAACTGCCATAATGCCTACATCGGTAACTGCTGTGCACCTGAAAATAGGGGGAAAAATGTCATTATATTTGAGTAAATTGAAACTTGTTCGGATCAACAATAGGGATCGACAAGAAAGAAGGCGATATGGAGTTATAGATTAGAAACTTTAAATAGGATGGCTAAAGTTTCAAATCCCCCTTCCCTCTCTCCGCTTCATAAATCCCATCTCTCCCCTATATGTGCGCGCGCGCGTGCGCGTAAAGGAAGCGCTAAAGTTAGGATTGATTCATTTTCCAGAGCAAATACTGGTAAACTGATTTTCTATGACTATTTGTTCCGTAGCAACTAAACCCACTGCAGGCAAGATCACTTCTCACCATACTGTTCAAAATTTTTTCATTTTTTAGGAAGAAGGTCACCAAACGGTAACTCAACATGGTGGAGTGGACAATAAGGTATCAGAAGTCAGTTTTTGAAACTAGCAAAAGACAGGCTTCTATTATCCCAACAATTAGAAGTACAGAGTAGTGATCAAGATTTCTCAAAAACATTTTCTCCATTTTCATAGAAAAGCATAGAGTAGAAAACTTGCTTACAGTTTCATTTCAGATGGTAAAGCAGGAATTAGGACACTGGTTAAACTTACAAGGGCTCTGGTAAAAAAAATTCCATTTATGGAAATTAATGAAAATCTAAATGATGTATCAACATATTGAAGGAGAGATATGGGGGGGGGGGTTAGTTGATTAAGCAGAAAATACTTTCTTGGGACGTGGAATGTCAAATTAAAATCAAATTACCTACAAAAGATAAAAAATAAAATAAAATTCAGGATCCATGCTTCTGGAAAAAAAATGAAAAAGATAATAATCTTTATTGTAAAGTTGCAAACCTGTACAAATCAAGTTGTGTCAGTTTTGGACAGTAAATTCCAACATGAGAAAGTCCGCCATCAGTGATTTTCCTGCATATTCCCATTTTTAAGCTCAAAAGTTTGGAACATCTTGAGATTGCTTTCAACCCTGCGTTAGTGCAAAAGCAGTTAGTCACCATTAGGGATAGTAAACTTAATGAAGATGATGATAGATTTCATGTGGAACCTTCATCATTGACTTCATTATCAGTAATATCCAGCTCCTCCAGCAAAGAGCAACGTTGCCCAATCAATTCAAAAGCATCTTCAGGAATCAAGCTACAAGATTCCATTTTGAGGGAAATAAGGGAGTTACATGAACTTGTTATAATGTCTAAAGAGGCATGAGTTATTTTTCTACAACAAGTTATGTCCAATTTTTTCAATCCATTGTGCTTCTCCATAATGGAGGAGAGACCCTCATCTGTCACTCCTATGCACTTGCATAAGTTTATCTCCTTTAAGGATACACAACAATCTGCAATTGCTTTCATCCCAGCACATGAGACTTGGCAGCCATCTAATTTAATGCACTGCAGGCCCGGAAAATTGCGCAGGCATTTTGCTAGATCTACTGTAACCTGAACCAAGGTTTGCAAAAAGGGGGAAAAAAATTAAGATGAGAGATAACAGATACACTTGCAATGGAAAATTCACGAATAGAAGTTCTATACTTACATCAAAACCATATGCTAGACTGAGATGGCTTAGGTGTTTCATGCCATTTGTTAGAGAATATAGACCAATGTGGCTGACATTTTGAATGATTGACATATTAAGCATCTGCAACAAATATCAGATGGAATCAATGAATTGCAAGAGAGGATGTAAAAAGGACAAACAGGAACCAAAGAAGGAACCTCTAGTGGTTTGTATCCTTGATTCAGGGTGACAAGACCCTCATCATCAACACCAGAACATCCGACAAGAATTAATTCCTTGAGTTGTTGAAGCTGCAGGATGGGTGGAAGGCACTTTTCTGTTATCTGTTAAGAAAAAATCCAGAAGAATGTTAAAAGTTTCTCAAGATAACGACATTTCTTGAAACAATTTCACTATATAAAATAAGTAAACCTATGTTCAAGTTCTTGTGACAATTTGCTGATTAATTTACAGTATAAGCTCACTGAACTCCGATGTCAGAAAACTACAATCTAAGAATTAGGATATAAGCACATCATCCTACACAAAAGAATAGCTTAGCCCTGTGTTAATATTTAGAAACAATGTGAAAGATTGCCAGTCGAATATGACTCATGGTTGCTTAACTTCCTAAAGATAGAATTTAGAAATTAGAATCCCACAATTGACAGGTGAAGAAACGTTTAAGATTTACAAAACCTAGGAAATTCTGAGCAGTTAATTAATTGTCAAGATACAAATGCACCCAGGGGCATGATCCGCCAATCGGTAGAGTCTATTTACCAGGACTAGTTAATTTTCCAGGTCAAGGCTAATCAGCTAGCTCAGATATTACCACGAGAGAGAGAGAGAGAGAATTATTTCCTTTTCTGTTGACATCAATTACCACTGTAACGTTTAACGAATAATTGTTTTAAGGACGTCAACTTCAAACTCCCAGTGGTCTAGCTAAGGAGAGAACAAGTAACAGCTGACCGCACCTATGGAAAATATAGTGGGGGAAAAGGAAAAGACTGAAGGAGAAAAGGCAAATTACAGGCAAGTAAGAGAGATCCAGAGAGCGAATATCTCTGCACTTCATAGCAATCAAGCCAACACCGAAATCACTAACTCTTAAGCACCATTTCAAGCAAACCCACTTCAATTTTTTGCAACCAACAGCAATACAGCCAATCCCGATATCTGAAATTAACTTGCACCTAGCCAATGATAGCTTCTCCAGGTTCTTAGCTTCAGCAATAGCTGCAGCAGCCAAGTCTGTTAGCTCTGTTGCATTGGACAAATCCATCTCCAACAAACCTGTACATTTCCCAGCCAAACTCGACAACCCAACGTTACTAAAGAACCTAGACCTCGAAAGGTCAATGGCCCTCAAACTAGTCTTATATACATCAGCTATAGCAAAAAGAGTATCATCCTCGACACGAGGACAGCATGTGAAGTCAAGGTGAGATAGATGAGGATATCTTCGGAGTGTACTTGGAATGAGATTAGTTCGTAGAGGTCTTAGAGATCTTCTGTGAATGGATTCAATAGAGTAGAATGATTTGTTAACAAGAGAGAACGATTTCTTGGCTTGTGGGTCCTCATCGAGGAAATCAAGAACGTTAAATATGATTTCTTCAGTAAGATTTTCAAAGGGGTTGGAGAGATTGGGAGATTGGTGAACTTGTTGCATGGTTCTGGGGGTCTTCATGAGATGATAATCAGACTGCTGCAGGTAAAAGCTATGTTGCTGATCCAGGAGGAATGGTGGGGGAAAATCTTTCCAGCGGTCGAGTATTTTTGGAAGTTTCTGAGAAGTAAATGAACTGGCATTGAATGGGAGCATTAATAAAAAGATTCTGAGATCAATTGTGGGGGCTAGACAGAAAAATTAGTAGAAAAGTTTGGAATGATGATGACCTGAGCTGGGGAAGTTGGTTTCAGTTGACGAAGATGATGTTCGGAAATTACAACGCTGACCTTTCTCAGTTGGATTGGATCTTTGACTGTATCCGAAAAACAAAATTTTCTTTTTTCTTGCCGTTTTTCTGTTTTTCTTAACCCTTTAATTGGCTGAATTGATGGCATCAAATTAAGGACAACCCTAATCCTCAAGCATCGTATACTCTTTTTTTTTTTTTTTCTTTTTTTAAATTAATGTATTGTCTACTAGTACTTGTATATGGTAAAGCGTAAAGTCAGAGCCAGAGGGGGCAATTAAGGAAAATAAACTGAGGGTCAATGAGATCTTAGGCTTAGGCGCTTAGCTAATAAAGAAAGATCAACGAGGGGCAGCCAGGTGTAGAGGCGGGGTGAATTCAAGGGCACACCTGGTACGGCATGGTCCAATATTGCATCGTTTTCATTTGTGCATTTATGTGCTCCACCAGCGACCTAAACTTGACGGCAATCGGGTTGAACAGCCGATTGAGATGTTGAGAAAGCGAGAACCCCTTTCACCTTTTTCTTTTGGTGGAGCCAAGCCAGAGTCATTCGTGCATTCGTACTCAAATTGATTTTGGTTGTATGCTACTATAGCTTACGCGCCGGAGAGAGTGCAATCGAACGGCAAAGTAGAATTGATTTCTGGTGGCTCTTATTTGAAGAACCAAATCTGGTGGATCAAATACAGAGATGAATGAAGTCTCTCCCCATTGCTTCGTCCCCAACAAATCACACGTAATGAATTGGTTGGATACCACTAAATATGTGGTTTCTTTCAATTTCTTTGAGTTTGTTTGGATTGTAAGTTATTTGAGATATTTTTACTGTAGCATTTTTTGTGATGTGATGTATGTGAGATAAAAAGGTGCGTTGGAAATTGTAATGATGATGTAAGCAGATATAATTTGACAAATAATGCTCAATCCAAACAAGCCCTTTAAATTTATTAGTGATTTCTTTAAATCCAAACGAGTGCATGGTACAATTAATTGATCTTATGATAGTTTAGTTCTCCCCAATTCCTCGTCCCATCCGTTGAGCCTGTCCCCTTCCCTTCGTCACATCCCCATAAAGTAGGACAAAAAAGAAAATAAAAGAATGGGTTAGATACCACAACATCCTCCCGTAACAGTTAGTATGTTGCAACAAACCGCTGCAGACTTTTTACAGAAGTAGCGAGACCACAATTGGAGAAATAGTTTCTTAGTTACCCGAACAAGCGAAACTGTACTGTAAATCAACAATTCTCATAGAATACATTACATCCAAATATAGAACCATTGCAATTCCTCAGTTTAACCCAAGCAAAAGGTGTAAAATGCGCCGAGTCACCTAAGACATTAGATCAATCATTTTTTCGCATAGCTGATTGCCATAGGATTCTGGGGGGTAATTTTGAAGCCCTGAAGTGCCTGCATGGCAACTGAAGATTGTATATCATCTTCAAATTCTACGAAGGCTATACCTGGTTTTGCCTCAATCATTCGAACTTCCCTAAAACCAGGGTATTGTTTGAAAAGGACATCCAGCATCATGCTTGTTGTCTCGTATGGTAGATTCTGTATGAAGAGTATGTTGTTCGGATCAGCAACGGCTTCTTGAGCACTCGGCCGTCCTGGACGAGAGGAAGCCTGCAAAATTCCTCCAGAGGAAGTGTTAGTGCAACTCCACGAAGACAAAAAACCACAGAAAGATTGAACAGAAGCAAATTTATGAAGAAAACCTCATGAGCTTTCTTCTTTCATTCAACTCTATAGAATGTAAAACTTACACCTACCATCATGGCAAATTAAGCACCCCTCAGTTAGTCTCTAAACTACAGAGCAAAGCTAAATTTTAGAAAGCATATTTTATTGCCTATGACATCTGTGATTCAAACCCTCAAAAGCTGACCATGAAATTAACCACCCTATACCTTGAGAACGCCCTATCCCCAAGTAAACAGCCATTGGTCATTTGCCACCTTTCCCCCCATCCCCCTCGCCAAAGTGAGAAAACAAAGTATACAAATATTTACCACAGAAAAAACTAGCTAACGAGGCCAGATCATGTGAAGACAGACCAACAAATCGCAGATATAAATGTTTCTATTGCAGTACAAATAATATAGCACACTGACAAACAATAGAATCTTATCTAAATCTTCTTCTTCTCCCTTATATACATCTAGATGTGTAAAAAGTATTAGCAAAAACAAACATATAATTACACAGGTAGTAATTTCGTTGTGACTGCAAAGCAAGTTAAGCACATGATGGGGGTAATATTTTTCTCAGGCCAAGTGCATGAGCATGTTCGCTCTAAAAAGAATGAAGTAACTCAAATGCAGCAACTTACAGCTGGGCCACCATTGCTCTCAGCTCTTGGACCATTAGGAGTAGCATTTTGTTGAGCTTCTTCAACACGTCTCTTTCTTTCAGCTGAATGCAAATACCAATCCAAGCAAAAAATTGATTTAAAAACATCACAATAGAGAATAACCAACAGATCCATTAGATCATGCATTGGAGAACAAATGCATGATGTACCAAAATACCTTTGAACAATGAACATAAATAATTCATAGGTCCATCAAGCAGGAGCCATAACAAAGAGAACTAGCATCTCAGTAAAACTAGTAGAAGTTCATGAGATACTATGGCTCAAGGCCTCCTAGGAGACAAGAAAGTACAACCAAAAAAATCCCCCTCACCAAACTTCTTCACAGTATCTGGGTAAATGCATAAGTATACCCACCACCACCGTCTCATTCAGAGAGAGAGAGAGAGTAAATGCAATGTGAATCATGCTCAAACAAATGGAAAAGTAGGCAGATGATGGATATTCGTATCTTTGAATAATTACTGATATGAAAATGAGATGTATAAATAGGAAATTAGAAGGAATAGAAAGCTGGAATTGTAAGATGATTTTACCTTTCTCTTCTTGCTTCTTTTTCTTGTCATAAGTACCCTCGGCTCTAGCAATACAATCTGATTTTGATTTTGCATACTGGATCCGCTGTAATGCGGAAAAGTTAAATAGTCAATTTCATGCATCCAATTTGCAGAAGGAAGGGAGAAAAAAAAGAGAAACAAAGAACTAAAGCTTTATCAAAAATCAAATGAAAACAATGGAAGTAAACAGATTGTGTAATGTGGAAGTGAATAGTTGCAAGTTCATTTGATATTCAAATGAAGAGTTAAAAAAAATGCATTTGGGTTTTTCCACAAGTGAAAGGGTTAAACAAGACCCTTGGAACTGTAGCTTTGAATATACCTTCATAATTTACCACCAATTAGGAGATGAACCATTAACATGCAGGCAGCTAGTGTGATAACTCACCATAGGCTTATCGTAAAACGGAAAATTTTGCATCTGGCGCACTGCGTTGCTGGCAGCGGTCACTTCACTAAATACAACCCAAGCCTGCCCTCGAAGTTTGGTTGTTTTCAAGGCAACAATGTCCAGGATCCTCCCATACTGCGAAAACAATGCATACAGAGATCTCTTCAACTCTGTTCAAGAAATATAAGGGAAATGTGGCATCATGTTCAAAATCATCAAAGTAAAGTAAGCGAGATTGCAAAGTAGAAGAGAGGGCAGCAATAAGACCAGCTGATGCCTCAGCTCTCAATAGTCAAGATAGCATAACAAGGAGATAATAGGCATACACGAGACGCTAACTCAAACATTTAGCAAACAGTTGATATCTAGCCTCCTGTGCAATACCCTTTCGCTCTGGCTGAGAATTATACTTGGTAAGTTGGACTTCTTGATCTTTGGTTTCAAAAGCATAGCCAAAATACATTTTACTGGCCTCCAATGCATCTTTTTACTATCTGTTCCAATCCCGCTGGCCTAAACAGGGGCAAGGTTTTCGCATCTGCCATCTATGCTACGAAATTTAGTAGGAAGTGGATAGTATGTTTATGACACGTAATGAAGGAGCTTGGTACTAATACGCTGCCACCAAATATATATATATATATTTCCCAGCTTTCTATCTTTGTAATGCCAATTAACATGATCATATAGCCCCCATAAGCAAGTAATGGAAAAAACGAACCAATAAGTTGCCTATGCAAAGTAGCCAAAACAAAAATCAAAAGAGAAATCCAGAATTGGGGAAAAAGGTAAATCCATACGGAATCTAGTGAATGTCCTGGCCAGCAAAACTCCTAAATTTACTAAACAGAAGGGCATAATTCCACTAGGTTCAAAGGGGGCTCAAAAATCAAAGAAGAACCAAAGCCCAGCAGTTGGGACAGCTGATTTAACACGAATAACGTAATGCATGTGCTGCCCAAAAAAAGAAAGAAGTTATCTCAAGTAAATCTGATGCACAGATTAGCTTCTAATGCCAACAAAAAAACCAAGAAAGTTTTTCAAACCCCGCTGCCTAAGAGTAGAAATTCAGGATAACAAAAAAAAAAAAAAAATTGTCCAATTAAAACAGACAAATTTAGTTGCGAAGGTTACCTTCTTTTTTAACCTTCTCGTTGAGGTTCTTAATGTAAATGGTTTGATTTGGGGGTATATCTCCGGTCAGCATTCTTCCTCTGCTTCACCCTCACCCTTTGTCTGTGTGGCGTTGTGTTACTCAAATTTTCAGCCCTAGCTCCACCATACAACTACAAGTCTACTAGTATTAATACTACTCGTCGAACTAGAAAGAGTTAGAATCAACGTTGCTGCCCTTTTGATTTTGGCGGTGGCCTGTGAAGAGTAGAACGCGAAACATCGTATATGGAATGGCTCCGTCGATCTTGTCTTGTGGCCCAATGGGCCTTTAGGTTTTGGGGCTTTTCATGCTTTTGGATTTAAGTTCTAGACTTCTACTGACGCTGGTGAGCTGCTCAGTCCCTTTGATGGTCGGATTTCCTCTGCGAACCCACTACAACTATCTTCACTTGTAGGAATTTTTTTTCATATATATATATATATATATATATATATATATATATTACATGCAATTTATTCGCAACGGATCTTCTGTCCCACATCTTGTGCCATTCTCTGTCTCACTTTTTGTTATATTGCTATTTCTCCTATATAAAT